GTGATTCCCCTTCCCCTCAGGTTTTTTCAACCCATGCACACCTTAATACTTAATTGGCAACTGCCCACCTCTATGACTGCAATGCCAAAGAATCATGGGACATGTCATTATTTGAAGCATGCCAAAGCCAAAGTGCCTGAAATAAGTGGGACATGCAGTCTTGTCACCACCACTCTGAAGTTCCCACAGGGCAGAGTTGGCATCTTTACATCAGTGGGAGGACCTGGTCTGGTGATTCTCCTATCTCCTCAGGTTTTTCCCACCCATGCACACTTTAGCAGTTAATTGGCAGCTGCCCAGCTCTATAACTACAGTCCCAAAGGATCATGGGACATGTCATTCTTTGAAGCATGCCAAAGCCAAAGTGCCTGGAAAAAGTGGGATGGCCAGTCTTGTCACCATCTGTCACGTACCTGGGTACTGAGCCTGACGTGAAGAGGCAGACCTCTCATACAACCCCGGCTCGGGGGCCGCTGGGAGTGGAACAGCGGTCGCAGGAGCTCGGTGGGGCAAGAGGACCTGGGGATCTGTCCAGTGATAGCTGTTGGACTGATGAGTAGCAGACCAGAGCAGGGTGCAGATGGATCCGTGCAGGATGGATGGATGTGGGTGCACCATGTAGCGAGAAGCAGTCAGATGGGCCGGGTTATAGACGAGACAGATCAGGCATGGACGGCAAGCAGGAGAATAGTCAGATCACGGGCCAGGTTCAGCAACAGGAGGTCAATCAATCAGGAGCAGGTAGAAGAGTAATTCAAGGAGGCCAGAAGTCAGGGCAGAAGACGATCAATCGGAAGTCAGGAACAGGCTGGTTTTGGCAAAAGGGAACAATCACAGAGGTCAGGAACACAAGCAGGGGAAAAGACCATACGGCAATGAGACATCCACAGCAGTCAGCTTAAATAGCCCACTTGGCGCCAGCATAAGTGCCAGGCGCGCACCCGCTTGCGTGAGTGCGCATTGCGTGGGTGCGAGTGCAGCCGTGCGCCTCTGTCCAGGCACCCGCACATCTGTTCGGCTTGCCAGAACCCGGCGCATGCGTATATTCGTGCTTCACTTGTACTACTGGAAGGCATTTCCTGACACATACTCATACTAGGGACAATTTTAGACAGGATCCAATTAACCTACATGTCTTTGGAGTGTGGGAGGAATCCGGAGTACCCAGAGGAAACCCACGCAGGCACAGAGAGAACATACAAACTCCAGGCATGTGGTGTTGTGGTTGATATTTGCATAAATCCATCCAAGGACCAGCCCAGGGCTTGGCTTAGGACCGAGACTACAGAGGCTAATACTAAGTTACATTCAGGAACTGAAAGTGGACTCCAATGCATTTTGTCAAAATTTTATTACGTGATTTTTTGCCAAACTTTCAGGGAAATGAAAATCTTAATTTTGCTCATCCCTATAAAAAGAGTAAAGTTGGACTTTACCGGCGCAAAGCGGAACACGTAGAAATATATGTAAAACCCTCAAATTTTATTATGTACAATTTTCAAAAGAACACTACAAATTTATTATGAAATTAAATTTAAAATAGTTGCCTGCACATGATTTTCTGCTAGTCTTATCTGTTCCTCTCAACCACCAAAAAAAGGCCTTTTAGACATGTTTACTGATTATTACAAAATTTGTAGCCTTGTGGAGATAAGTCCTCATAGGTTTGTACATCCCTGTCTTAACCAATGCAATGCATTTCAGTATATATAAATTCATAAGATTTAGCATTACTAATAATATAGACATGAAAACTCACAAAAAAAGTATAACAGGCTTTTTGCTTGGGTAACAAAAATGTATTATTTTCCAAAAGTTGTTTTGTGTTCAGGTAATGTTTGCACAGTGTATATTAATTAGGTACAGCAATGGGATCAAACAATACCCCACCCACACCATTTTTTTATTTCATGCAATGTCTCACTCACCTATCTATATAGGGTCATAGCTGATTACTTTGCATTATATTGTACAATGTGCTATCTTTATTGTGTAGATATGCAAATATATTTTGGCATAAGACATAAACATAATGGGAATATTTAGAGTGACTCAAAAAAAAACTTGAAAAAACTGCTCCCTGTAGAAAAACATGCAGTACTCACGTGTTCTGGCACTGTGACTGCCACCAATCATTGCAGTCTCGAAGCGTTATACTGGCTGCAATATTTTTAGCAACTGACATACCTGTGGGTATGACTTTTTTGGGCACAGCTTCTGGTTCAGTTTCACTTTAAGAAGCTATTGAGATTCCATAATTCAACTGATAAAGACTGGATAACAAAGTAGAACTAGAGAGACTTCAGGCCATGCTTCCAGTCTTACCCCTTTACGATCACCTATCACTGCACCATGCAGGCACTGCAGGCCATGCTTCCAGTCTTACCCCTTTACGATCACCTATCTCATATTTGCAGTGGCAAAAGGGTGGGCTTGAACACCCATATGCCACACATATGCCCCGCTGGGTGGCCAATGTTTCTGTGCTGAGAGCGTGCTCATTGCCCACTCCCAGCACACAGACCGTGCCGTGGAAGACGGCTCTTGGTCCCCGCTAATGATCAGCAGCTGGCGGGATCGGCTTCCACAGTGGTCAAGTGATTGGCCAATCTTTCCCACCCACCAGTGTTTAAAGAGTAACTCCACTTATGCTGAGAAAAACACACTCTCCTCTGGGTGATCTATACGCATTGCAGGGATTTTACCAACTTTTTTGAAATTTCATACTTTTTTTTTCTGAAGATATAGCTGTTTGTTTGTTTGTGTCCATGTGCAAATCAAACACATGGGAGTGATTATATAATTATCAATCAGCTTCTGGATCTGCAGGGGTGTAAAGGAAAGTGGCAGGGTCTGCATCCCTTTAGACATGATTTCCCTTTAGGAAAATCTCACAAAAATGCCATTTTTGTTGCAGGGGATGCCCAAAATCTGACTTGTACTGTATCTTAGTGCAGGTTTCTGGGAAAATCAGGGAGCCAATCACACAAGCAGGAAATGGCATTTCTGGGAGGCGATCTGTATGCCATCTGTGTACAGAACGCCTCCAGGTTGCATTTTGCAGAAATTTACCACGGCTGCAGATTGAAATGGAAAGGTCATTTTTTATTAATATTCAACTACAGTATGTCGCAATTGTATACGCTATATTATTTTTTTTTTTTCACCCACACAAGTGGAGTTACTTTTTAACCAGAAATACTGCTACAGGGCGGCAGGGCTGCACAAAATCATATAAATATACATGATTTGCATTTCTGGGTAGGCAGCACACACGTGCCCCCCTACCCGCACCACTATTGCGGCTAGAGATGTCAATCACCGGGTCCCGACCGATGATTCCTGGCCAGCACTCGGTGTTTGCCAGGGAAAGCTGACAGGGGAGAGACTTGTGTGTAAACAACACAGGTCTCTCTGCTGTCAGCATAGACATGCTGTTTTGTATGTCTCTGCACAGCAGAGACATACAAAGCAGCATGTCTTCCTAGTAAAACACAGCACACAGTTAACCCTTTGATCGCCCCAGATATTAACCCTTGCTTGCCCAGTGCCATTAGTACAGTTTCAGTGCTTTTTGTTAGCACTGATCACTGTATTGGTGTCACTGGGGATGTCAGTGGCAGTTAGTCAGTTCCCACCCCCAGTGTCAGAATGCCCGCCGCAGTCCCGCTATAAGTTGCTGATCGCCGCCATTACTAGTATATAAAAAATTTAAATTCCAGTATCTATACCGCCATTTGTAGACGCTATACCTTTCCCGTAAACCAATTAATTTACACGTATTGGGATTTTTTTTTTTTTTAGCAAATACATGGAGAATACATTTTGGCCTAAATTTATATATATTTAAATTTGATTTTTAAACATTTTTTTATTGGATATGTTTTATAGCAAAACGTCAAAAATATTGTTTTTTTTTTCCAAAAATTTTCTTTTTCTAGCGCAAAAAAAAACAAAACACACAGGCGATCAAATACCACTGAAAGAAAGCTCTATTTATGGGAAAAAAAGGACGTAAATTTCTTGGTCGGAGCCGCACCGATTTCTAAATTAGTACATGCGCCACTTTTGGTGCGATTTGCACATACATTTGCATGTCAGATGTCTATACAAATCGCACCTCAAAATCGGCACTTCCCCCGACACGTATTGTGATTTTTTTTTTTTTCAGCAAAGACGTAGCAGAATACATTTTGGCCTAAATTTATGCCAAAATTTGATTAACATTTTTTTATTGGATATGTTTTATAGCAAAACGTCAAAAATATAGTTTTGTTTTTAAATTTCCAGTTTTTTTTTGTTTATAGTGCAAAAAAAACCCCAAAAAAACGCACAGGCGATCAAATACCATTGAAAGAAAGCTCTGTAAATGCTATAACTTTCACGTAAATTAATTTACACGTACTGGGATTTTTTTTTTTTTAGCAAAGACATGTCGCAGAATACAGTTTGGCCTAAATTTATGATGAAATTTGATTTTTGAACATTTTTTTATTGGATATGTTTTATAGCAAAACGTTAAAAAAATTGTTTTTTTTCCAAACTTTTAGATCTTTTTCTGTTTATAGAGCAAAAAAAAAAAAACCCGCACAGGCGATCAAATACCACCAAAAGAAAGCTATTTAAGGGGAAAAAAAGGGCATAAATTTAATTTGGGTGCGGCGTTGCATGACCGCGCAATTGTCAGTTAAAATAACGCAGCGCCGTATCGCAAAAAATGGCCTGGTCAGGAGGAGGGGGGGAAATCCTCAGGAGGGCGAGGGGTTAAAGGGATGCAAAGGGTTAAGTCACCTGGAGAGATGCAAATAAAAATGTGGCGTATTTATCAAAATGAATGTACTTACTATCCACCAATGAGACGACGGATACCCAACCTAACTAAATACAATATACAAGCAGATTTTGCAGCACGTCTTTGAACACAAGCACAATATATACATCTCAGGCCTTCCCATTGGCCGCCATAATGGACGGACTTGAAATGCTTGCTGAATTGGCATTTAGCCCAGGAGTTTCCAAAAGACAGAAATAGAAAAGATTAGCGCGAGAATATTTTCCTGAAGGCGATGGCCGCAGTTCGCACAGATATTTTCCAAATCCACAACCGACTTGTTGATGTTCCACACTTGGTGGACTGGATCACACAGCCCTTTGGTGGCACAGCCACGTGCTACTTGTGAAGAAGGGACAGGCCCTGTGGAAAAAAAAAAAAAGGGGTTATAGATATAACCATATTGATTCTGATTTTCTTTACAGGCGGGTTAAAGCAGGGAGTAAAAACAGGCACATCGCTTGGTAAAAGCAGCACATTTTACACATAGTAAACATTGTTAGGCACACAGTTAACCCTTTGATTGCCCCTAGATCTTAACCCCTTCCCTACCCATTACTACAGTGCCAGTGAATAGTATTAACACTTATCACTGTATTAGTGTCACCAGTCAGTTAGTCAGTTCCCAAAAAGTGTCAGTTAGTGTCAGATTGCCCGCGTACTATCACAGTCCCACTATTCTGATTTTCCTTACAGTCGGGTTAAAGCTAAACTCCAGGCACAGAAACTTTCATAGAAATATATTCCTCAACGGCCAAAAAGGAGTCACTTTTGGGTGCATTAAATGCCTTTGCAAACCTAGGTATCACCCTAAAAAGTTGCAGTGACATCATCGCTGTGCTGGACTAAGCCTGTGCAGGGATCAGAGTGCAAGTGAGCAACGTGTTTTCGGTCTCCTCTTTAAATACCGGACAACCAACAAGCTCACATTAAACTCAGAATACAAGTGAGCAGGGGTGGACTGACCATTTGTAAACTCGGGCACTGCCCGAGGGCTTGGGGACAGTAGAGGGCCCCATGAGATGCCACTGGTACCTTTTTTGAGTTTGAGTTTTTTGAGCCCCTGGTAGGCTTTTTTGAGTTTGGGCAAGGACAAATTGGCCCCATGATCCCTATTGCCCGGGGGCCCCATGAGTTGTCAGTCCGCCCCGCAAGTGAGCAACTTTTTTTGTCTCCTCTTTAAATACCGAACAATCACACTTTGTTTATACTATCTTTATTCAGTTTTGTGTTTGTTCTGACGCGTGATGCGCACTTTCTCTGTTTAGCAACCTATATGTTAGTAATGGTAATTCTTGAATACAGATTGATGTGCTTTTCCATGTGGCCTGCACTGCCACTATAGAGAAGGTAATTACAGTATCTGAAAAATGGGATCCTTTTTTGTTTAACACATTAAACTCAGAATGCAAGTGAGCAACATGTGTTTTCTGCTCCTCTTTAGATACAGATACTCCAGACTGCATCTTTGCCATACCTCACACTCAGATCACCAATAATCCTGCAATGCATGCAATGAGGGAGGAGCTGTGTTCTAGCTCCTCCCTCATTGTACCCTATCTCCTCCCCCTGTGCTCTAGCTCCTCCCTCATTGTGATCTATCTCCTCCCCCTGTGCTCTAGCCCCTCCCTCATCAACTCTTCCTGGAGTAGTTCAAGTTCTAAGCACATTCAAAAGTACATTGCACGTGGATTAAAAATGATGAAAAGGAGGCATCAGCACCTACCTTTAAGATTGGTGATCTGGGTGATACATATCGTCTCATTTCCAATACAATCCATGGAGGTCACTTTGTCGCATGACTTGGCGTTTGGAACAAAGCAAGCTGGGCATTTCATGCCGTTCTTTGCTATCGAGACTTCCGGAACTAACAGAAGAACAAAATCACATAAAGCTTTGCTACACAAGTTTTATTTCGTCTCTCTCTCTGACTTTCATTCTTCAGTGGAGCTGAGTGCCACACCAGGAATTCATTGTCCACTGGAAACCTAGGGTTATCCTATTGGTAAGGGAATTTGAGATAGTATTTTGATGAAGTATTTGGATTCTAGACTGGCAGTTATTCTATGGATTTTCATGGACTGGACCTATGAATTCCAAGGAGTTTTTCACAGATTTCCTGATACGAATTAAGAGAAAAGATGGATCCAATGCGTTTCAGAGTGAAACAGATCCACTGCACTCAAACCATCTTCCAATGCAGGTCAATGAGGCATAAGCCCAGGAAACCATGAAAATCCTTTGGTGTAGAGTGAAACAGATCCACTGCACTCAAACCATCTTCCATTGCAGGTCAATGAGGCATAAGCCCAGGAAACCATGGAAATCCTTTGGTGTAGAGTGAAACAGATCCACTGCACTCAAACCATCTTCCATTGCAGGTCAATGAGGCATAAGCCCAGGAAACCATGGAAATCCTTTGGTGTAGAGTGAGACAGATCCACTGCACTCAAACCATCTTCCATTGCAGGTCAATGAAGCATAAGCTCAGGAAACCATGGAAATCCTTTGGTGTAGAGTGAAACAGATTCACTGCACTCAAACCATCTTCCAATGCAGGTCAATGAGGCATAAGCCCAGGAAACCATGGAAATCCTTTGGTGTAGAGTGAGACAGATCCACTGCACTCAAACCATCTTCCATTGCAGGTCAATGAGGCATAAGCCCAGGAAACCATGGAAATCCTTTGGTGTAGAGTGAAACAGATCCACTGCACTCAAACCATCTTCCATTGCAGGTCAATGAGGCATAAGCCCAGGAAACCATGGAAATCCTTTGGTGTAGAGTGAAACAGATCCACTGCACTCAAACCATCTTCCATTGCAGGTCAATGAGGCATAAGCCCAGGAAACCATGGAAATCCTTTGGTGTAGAGTGAGACAGATCCACTGCACTCAAACCATCTTCCATTGCAGGTCAATGAAGCATAAGCTCAGGAAACCATGGAAATCCTTTGGTGTAGAGTGAAACAGATTCACTGCACTCAAACCATCTTCCAATGCAGGTCAATGAGGCATAAGCCCAGGAAACCATGGAAATCCTTTGGTGTAGAGTGAGACAGATCCACTGCACTCAAACCATCTTCCATTGCAGGTCAATGAGGCATAAGCCCAGGAAACCATGGAAATCCTTTGGTGTAGAGTGAAACAGATCCACTGCACTCAAACCATCTTCCATTGCAGGTCAATGAGGCATAAGCCCAGGAAACCATGGAAATCCTTTGGTGTAGAAAAAGCTGCCAGTTGAGAATCCAAATATTATACCCTCAATTTACCACCCCAAATGCCACCTCAATTTCCCATACCAATAGAGAATCCTAAGGTTCCAGCACCAATCTTCCTGCCTTCCCAAGTCTCTTCCTTCGAGGTCAGTTGAGAATTGTGATCAATGGGAGCTAGAAGGGTCCACTAAGAGGTTGAACTTCATTATCGGCAATGCCATGGGCACCTACAGACATGAAATCTCAGTTTTTGGTCAGATTCGGTGCCTATCCCATGTCTCTGTGAACAGAAAGAATGAAATGATCAGCTCAAAAGTCCAGTTCTTGACATTGAGGTAACGTTCAGTAGAAAAACAGTACCCAACGTGTTTCGGAGGTCAAAGACGCTCCCTTCATCAGGGCTTGAGCTTAGTTGTTACAGTTCCTATATGGACTCTGATAAAAACTCCTGGAATAAGATCTTAAACTGAAAACAGGAAAATGTAAAGAGCTCAGTGGCCCCTCCCATTTAGATTGTAAGCTTCATGAGCAAGGCCCTTCAAATCTTCTTTTATTGAATTGTATTGTAACGGTTCTATCTACCTTTATTTTGTAAAGTGAAAACTGTTGGCGCTATATAAATCCTGTATAATGATAATAATAATGGTAATGGCATTGCTGGTAACGCAACCATTGAGCTGTTACTGTCAATGACTATTGCGTCCTTGGCATGAATATAGACACATGGACCTTTGAGCTGATTGTTTGGCTCTCTATCCCTTCTGTCCACTCTAAGCTTCGGAGGCTCCCGCTTTGTGGCACTATCCACCTACTTCGTGTTTTTCGAGGAGCTGGGGTCAAGTTGGCAAGAGTTACCACCAAATTGTATATGAAGAAAGCCAAGTTTGAGTCCAGCAAAATCTGTTTTAGTCACCCTGTCTCTGTCGCTCTTCTTCCCTCTATGCAGTGGAGTAACTATTGCAAGGGCAGTTGAGGTAGCTGCTATGGGGCCCGGGAAGAGAGGGTTGTTGAAGCAGTTTATATATTGAAAATTGGAGTGCATGTATAAAATGTGAAAAATCCCAGATGTGTCTTCAGCTAAAACGAATGCGTTTTTGAAGGTAGATAATTCTGCATTATGTTGCATTGCATTTGGCATTGGCTGCACATTTGCTCTGGAATGACTTCCTGATGTTGACCTACACAATACTGCTTAGGTAAGGAGGTGAGAGGAGGGGCGAAGGAGCTGGGCCAGCACAGACAGTAATTAGACACTCCTAAAAGGTGACGGGATCTCATTTTTGGGTTTAGAGCTACTTTACTGTATCCTGAGAGTGGAACTTACGGTTGGGCTCGGGAGGGGTGCAGTTGTCGGTGTCACAGCAGGTGATGCTGGTCAAGTATCTGCCATTGGGGACACTTATACTTCCAGTCTTTAAACAAAGTTCTCTTGGTCCACATTGCCTGATGTACAAATTCATAGTCACCATTTCACCTTGGAAACAAGAGAAAAGAAAAGGAACAGGTCTTCTTTACTGTAATCCGAAGATTGAAACAGTTATGTCACCTTTTTGCACTACAAGTTTTAGTTATTTGTTCTTTGTACTACTAAGATGCTGCTTGATTTAAAGCCAAACTCCAGGCAGACAGCTGAGTACATACCTGCCAAAAGGTTTGCATTTCTGTCCATCCAGTCCTGCGATTTACACAGCTCTGACATACAGCGCAGTCCTGTCTGGCAGGGGAGGAGACCTGAACTTTCTCTGCTGCAGTTCAGTAACACTTACAGGTCAGCAGCCTGTGACTGGACAGTGAAGGGAGAAGCAGCAGACTAACAAGCTCATCTCTCTGTCACTCTGCGCGCTCCTTCTATCAACATGTCCTTTTTTTTAGCACATGATCGCTTGTTAGAATACTCAATGGATCCCTGCTGGGTGTTCTAGGTTTTTAAGGATTCCTAGGTCCTCCAGTACTCACAGGATCCTTGCTGCATCTTTCAGGATTTCTCTACTATTTCCAGGACTTCCAGGAATCCCAGTAACTTCACAGGTGAGTCCTCTGACTAGGAGGGTATTTTAAAATCCAGCCTTTAAAGTGGTTGGTGCTGTGTTGTATTACCAGCTACCTGAGAACAAAAGTGCTATAATACTTACCTGCCAGTTTTCTGCCAACTCAGATTGACCTGACTACTCTCTTGCCAGCCACTTGCCTTGACCCCTTCCTGGACCTGCCCATCTCTTGCTTGCTACCCTCCTAGATCTCTGTTTGGACTCAACTACTCTCTTTCCTGCTACCTGTCTTGACCCCTGCCTGGACCTGCTTACTGGCTTGCTGCCTGCCTTGACCCTCTCTTTAGACAAAAATACTCCCTTGCCTGCCACTCGCCTACTCTCTTGCTTGCTACCTGCCTTGACCCTATCTTTAGACCCAACTAAACTCTTGCATGCCGCCTGCCTTGACTCCTGCCTGGACCTGCCTTCTCTCTTGCTTGCCGCCTGCCTAGATCTCTGTTCTTGCCCAACTACTCTCTTGCCTGCTGTCTACCTTGACCTCTGCCTAGACCTGCATGTTCTCTTGCTTGCTACCAGCCTAGACCTCTGTTTGGACCCAACTACTCTCTTGCCTGCTGTCTACCTTGCCTTCTACCTAGACCTGCATACTCTCTTGCTTGCCACCTGCCTAGAACTCTGTTCAGACTCAGCTAATCTCTTGCTTGTTGCCTGTCTTGACCCCTGCCTGGATCTTCCTACTCTCTTGCTTGCCACCTTTCTAGACGTCTGCTATGCAACAACTGCTCTCTTGCCTGCTGCCTGCCTTGACCACTGCATGGTCTTGCCTGCTCTCTTGCTTCCTGCCTGCCTTGACCTCTGTTCAGACTCAACTATGCTTTTGCCTGCCACCTGCTTTGACCCCTGCCTAGATCTGCCTACTCTCTTGTTTGCCACCAACCTAGACCTCTGCTTAGATCAGACTACTAACTTGCCTGCCCCATGCCTTGATCACTGCTCAGACCCGACTACACTCTTATTTACCACCTGCCTAGACCTCTGACTGAACCCTTCTACTCTCTTGCTTGCCGCCTGCTTTGACCCCTGCCTAGACCTGCATACTCTCTTGCTTGTCGCCTGTCTAGACCTCTGCTCAGACCCAACTACTCTGTTGCCTGCTGCCTGCCTCGACCTACTCCCTCACTGTCACTCAGCCCTCTCTGTCCTATCCACATTTCTTTGTTATGACATAAACAATGCAGTGTAACTGATTGGCTTCTTGTGTGGCTTCCCACTCCTCCAGTCTGAGCTCTGCTGTGCAGGGACAGCAAGAGGCTGATGCCAACTCAAATTCAGACACCAACACAGCTTGCATTGAAAAAAAAAAAAACATGGGACTCTTGGACAGCCCTCTGGAGATCACAGGTTTCTCCTCTCCTATTGCAATGCGATGCCCTTTATGGAGTTCATAACCTAAGCTATGCTGCCTCCATTTGGAAGGATGAATGAGCTGCTTGTAAATGTTCTACTGAGCAAAGCAAAGGCAGTCATTGGGTGGACATTCAGTTATTCTGACCACAGATGGAAATGTCTCCTTGGAATAGACTGGTGCATGGCGGCCTGCAATGGGGTCTTCTACAAAGTGTGCCTCTACTATGGGGGCTCTCAAAAACACCCTGGCTGCCATTGTGCTGCATGCTGGGTGATCAGTGTGCTCCCGTGCCTTTAAGAGGGGTGGGCTCCCTCAGGTTCACCTGCCCTTGATCTATCCATTAAATGCATGTGCCTCTACTATGGGGGATCTCAAAATTTGTAGAGTTAGGACCACAGAATATCGGGGTGCCATGACGTGGCTCTGTGGCTTATGTATGTATTTGCAAATGTGTGCTAACTAAACCCCTGTTTTTAACGCATACTGTTAGACAGGTTAATTTGGTTGTTGGCAAACTCGCTGGCAAGTTGAGATGGGTACGTTCTTTTCTTTTTCTTGATGTGTTTCATACTGGGTATCCCCTAAGGCAATGTATGCTGGGAACTTGGAAGGTCCCATGCTAAAGTATCCCAACGGGCTGGGTGATCACATGGAAGTCAGGAAGAAAAGGGTTAGAGAGTTGGCATGCTTCCCCACATCTCAACCATGGGGCATGATGGAGGCATGCAGCCAAGCACATGGTGCCACCATGAAAGTGAGTATCCTGTGTACTGGCAGGAGCGTGTCCCTTGACATTAACCTCCCTGGTGGTATTCCTGAGTGTAGCTCGGGGTAAAGTTTCAGTACCACAAGCGGTAACCCCCCCCCCCCCCGAGCTACACTCGGGAATACCCTGCAGTGTTGTTCCAGGATCTCTTCTTCACTTACCTTGTCCTTCGCTCCCGCGATGTCCCCCCTGCAGCATCCCCTGCAATGTCCTCTGCCCGATGCCGGGATCTGTCTTCTGTGTTCCGTTCCCTGCGACATTGGGACGTACGGGGGACGGAACTGGCGGGAAATTTGAAAATTGTAAAAGTGACATTCACTAAATACACTAAAATCACATAGTATTCCATTCCTGTATCAAACCATTTCACATACATTTTGTCCCGAGTGCTTTGTCCTGCGCCCTGCCTGCATTTTTACTGTTCTTTCTACCTTGAAACTGAGAAATGTCCATGGTGTCCAAAAAGCGTCCCTTTAGATCAAAAGCGGTTTTAGACCGGCTAGAGAACAGCGATAGTAAATCAGAACCACTTGCAGAATTGAGTGATAATGATTCGTGGGGAAATTCCTCATCAGACACTGAAAACGATTCTGCGACTGAGCTCAGCGTTGTGCGAACTTGGCGCTCTATTTCACATTTCAGTGTTTTTGGTTTGATTATATTATTGAATTAAACTTATTATTATTATATTATTATTTTTTTATGATTATTTATTATATTATAATTTATGATTTCGTGTTTCAATTTTTATCCTACCCGGGATGTTTACTAGACTCTTGTTCAGACAGATTTCAGTGAGTTATTCCTAAAAATTACAGGCCTACAATAAAAAAATACATATTTCTATGCAAAAAAATATACCGCTTTGAGCACAGAAATATGGACATAATCAGACCGATAAGGAGGTTAACATCAATGCAATTTATACCTACAGTGAGGCAAATTCTTTTTTTTGTTCTATACTTATATTCGACATACCCATAGTGTTTACTGCGCGGGTTAACAGGCAGGCATAGTTCCCAGAAGGACAAACTTCGGAAGATCCATTGCAGACCTTGTCCCCTGCAACCGTACATTCTATACAAGTCAGGGAGTAACCTGCACAACAAGAACAAAGTTACAATAAATAACACTGTTATTAAACATTATGCAAAACCCAACATTTAATGTTTCCCATTACAAGTCTTTTGTTAAAGCTTTAAGAAAAAAAAGTACCCGTTGATCCAGTTTTCTCCCCCCCCCCCCCCTTTTTTTTTTCCTGCACTGAACTCTCAAGCAGTCTTATCAGGCCAGCTCAGTTCTCCTCTTGGTCTACAGAACACCTCCCCTATAAAAATAGCAGTGGTGGAGGTGCTCTGTTTTCCTGTCCTAGGGTGACAACAATGCTACTCCTCCATGGATACAGTACACTGTTGTCACTCTTGGACAGGAAGTATGGCAGGATCTTATGGTGAAATTAAAGAAAAAAAAAAATTAAGGCAGCCACTACATTTAGGGACTGGTTAGCTGCAATATATTACACTTTTGTTTTGAGGTTTGAACCACTGAAAATGCCATTTTGTGCAAGCTATAGATGAACCACCGCTGCCCCCTACTGGCTGCCAAAGAAACTAAGATCTTCACTCATCTTGTTTATTTTCATAATTTGGTTGTGTAGCAGAAAGTTACCTTTGTGTTGCAAAATATTGAACAATACCTATCTCCATGTATTTTAAAGAGGGAACATCAGTCATTTTAGATTTTGTTTTCCAGTTTGCAAGTACAAAGATTTGCCCAATGTAAATGATCTTTGCAATGTTTTAATGTTTTAAAATACTTAATTCTATGTACATTGTGAAATTCCAATCTATTGGTATATGGGGAAGAAAGAAAGAAAGAAAGGAAGGAAGGAAGGGAAGGAAGGAAGGAAGGAAGGAAGGAAGGAAGGAAGGAAGGAAGGAAGGAAGGAAGAAAGAAAGAAAGAAAGAAAGAAAGAAAGAAAAGAAAGAAAGAAAGAAAGAAAGAAAGAAAGAAAGAAAGAAAGAAAGAAAGAAAGAAAGAGAGTTGCTGGTTTTCAATCCCAAACACAGCACTAATGCCTGGAGTTTGTATGTTCTCCCTGTGTGCCTGCTTGGGATTCCTTTGGGTTCTCCGGTTTCCTCCCACACTCCAAAGACATGCTGGTAGGTGAATTGGCTCCTGGCTAAATTGGTCCCTAGTATGTGTATGTATGAATGTGAGATAGGGACCTTAGATTGTACACCCCTTGAGGGATAGGGACTGATGTGAATGTACAATATATATGTAAAGCTCTGCATACATCAACGGTGCTATATAAGTACCTGAAATAAATAAATAAATGAAAATAAAGAGGGAAGAAAGAAAAAGAGAGAAAGAGAGAAAGAAAGAAAGAAAGAAAGAAAGAAAGAAAGAAAGAAAGAAAGAAAGAAAAAGAAAGAAAGAAAAAATATTGGCACCACTCCACATGTAAAAGACCAGACGGATATTTTTCTTTAAATCACCAGGAAAACTCCAACATGTTTCTGGGGTTTTGAGAGTCCCCTTCTTTGGGGCTGAAAAGTATTAAAAGTAGTAGTAGAAAATATTAAGTAAAATAAAAATTTGCTGTATAAAGGAAAGGAATCCAAAGTAAAGGATGAATGGAGGGAAGGAAAAAGGAGGGAAGGTTGGAAGGAAGGAAAGAATAGAGGGAAGGAGAAAAGTTTAAGGAAGGAAGCTTGAAGGGAAAGAAGTAAGGAAGGAAGAAAGGGAATGAGGAATGAGAAAGGAAGGAAGGGAGGATGAAAAAAAAGGAAGGAAGGAAGGGAGGGAGGGGGAGGGAGGGAGGGAAAGGAAAGGAAATGAAAGGACAAGAATAGAATATAGGGAATGAGAAAGTAAGGGAGAAAGGAAGGAAGGAAATAAAGGGAATGAGAAAGGAAGGAAATAGTGGGAATGAGGAAGGAAGGAAGGAAGGAAGGGAGACAGGGAGGAAGGAAATAGAGGGAATGAGGAAAAGAAAGGAAGGAAGGAAATAGAGGGAATTAGAAGGAAGGAAGGAAGGAAGGAAATAGTGGGAATGGGGAAGGAAGGAAGGAAGGGAGACAGTGAGGAAGGAAATAGAGGGAATTAGTAAGGAAGGAAGGAATAATAAATGTTTAAACTCTGTCTTGGACATCAGAAAACATGTATTTGTTGTTCAGCAGGTGCAGACTTTACACACAAATAACACAGACGTTTGCTGTTTGTACAGAGAAATCCCAGTAATAGGAGCTCGGAGGACTCTGTATAATGCCCTCTGTGTACACTGCACTGACACAATAGTATGCCAGGTGTTTAATAAATTACAGAGCGAAATAAAAAAACGAGAAGCGCACAAACCTTGCGCATTACCTCAGTAACACAAATTTATTAATCAGAAAGGTACTCACAAACAGCGAATAAAATCAGGCATGTCAGTCCTCACAGGGACTTCAGAGATAGAGAGCCAGCGCGAGTCCCATCGTGGGGGTAAGCAATCAGTTCAGCTGACGCGTTTTTTCGAAGGCCAAACCTTCTTCATCAGAGCTGACTGAACTACTTTTTTTTACTGAGGTAATGCGCAAGGTTTGTGCGCTTCTCGTTTTTATTTCGCTCTGTAGTGTTGGTCGGGCTTCCCCAGCCTTGTTTGGAGCTGCACAACCTTTGAAGCACTGGTGGTCGGTGTTTGTCCAGTTCTGGTTCCATCTATGTGCCACCCCTGGGTCCTTGAGCGCAGAAGAATTCGTGTTTGGTTTAATAAATTACATCTGTCATGCAGCAACAATCACTTATATTAATGTTGTGATATAGGGGGAGGGGAATTAATGGCGACCTGTCCAGCACTGAACGTTTTAGTATATTTTAGTCTTATTCAGCATCTCTGGCCCTCAGTACCCCTAGGTGTGTGATCAGTGCTTTCTCTGGGGTGCTTAGGGTTTGTTCACACAAAATAAAGGTTCATTCACACCAGACACTGGAATATCCACCCAGTGCAGTCCCACCAGCACTGTCCCCTGTGTGCCGTGTTGCAGACGGTGTGCTCTGCATTCAAAAGACCTCATTTATCACTGCAGCAGATCAGTAACACTTACAGGTCTTATTCCTCCCCCTGCAAGTGACTGGGCAGTGAAAGGAGAAGCAGCAGATTGATGAGCTCATGTCTCTGTCACTCTGCCCTCCCCTCCTATCAGCACACCTTTGTGCTGATTGGCTCTTGGCGCTGCTTTTTCCACCCCCAGGCTGAGCTCTGATATGCTGATAAGAGTAAAGAGCAAAATAAATCTGCTGCTTCACCTTTCAGTGCCCACTCACAGGCTGGGGGGAGGGACAAGACCTGTAGGTGTTATTGAACTGCATAAGAGAACAATCAGGTATCTTCCCCTGCAAGACTGTGCTGTGCTGTGTGGCAGAGCAGTGTAAATCTCAGAGAAGGATGTACAGAAAATATAACTTCGTTGGCAGGTAAAGCAGATCCCATATACAGTACACATTTAATCCATGTATTAAGCTATTTGCCTGTCATTTAATTTGCAGCACAGGTCTGCTTTCAAGATGAGTTATTTATTTACCAAACTTAGCCTGGTAAGGCTGGTAACGTCTATTAATTATATGTAATCCAAGAAAAAATATGTGTTTACATAAGGATCCATGTTTTTAATAACTTAAATCTCTCGAGAAAATCACCCAATAACTGTTGCCCAAATGCGATCCAGTAATCTGGCATTCATTATGTAGTTCACTTTTTTGCCAGCAGGTAGAGCTCTTTCCACCATAAGGCTAAAAAAAAAGCCTGTTGCTAGTGAACCTGAGTAACTGAAGCTCAGATTACACACACAGCTGAATGACCCATCTCTCACTCTGATGGCCCTGTCACTGCTGGGCTGTCTCTTTAGAATGCTCTGCAAAGTCCAGGTCCTGAGTAAACCCTCTATTAACCCCTTCCAGGCCGGTCCAGGCATCCACTTATTAGGGTCTATAGGGCCGGAGGGTGGGAAGGATCGGCGATCATTTGACCACTGCCACTGGCTGTCCCAGTGGTCACATGAATGGGAGTTGGTCTGGCTGGCTACTGATCGTTAGTGGGGACTGAGAACTGTCTTTGACAGCTCAGTCTCTGCTGGAAGTGCATAGTGAGTGCCACTCAGTGATGTATATGTTCAGCAGTACGTTGTCCTGCCACTAGTCCTTAGTCTCACCCACATTCAACCCACTTCCTCTGAGCCCAGATCATCCTGGACCCACCCTTAAAGTGTTATTAAACCCTGGACCCTGCATCCACTATATCCAATCGCCCCGGACCCTACATTCACTATATCTGGTCTCCCTGGACCCTGCATTCACTATATCCAGTCTCCCCGGACCCTAAACTCACTATATCTGGTCTCCCCGGACCCTGCATTCACTCTATCCACTCTCCCCGAACTCTGAATTCACTATATCCGCTCTTCCAGGACCCTGCATTCACTATATCCAGTCTCCCCGGACCCTAAACTCACTATATCCGGCCTCCCAGACCCTGCATTCACTATATCCGCTCTCCCCGGACACTGCATTCACTATATCTGCTCTCCCCGGACCCTGCATTCACTATATCTGGTCTCCCCGGACCCAGCATTCACTATATCCGCTCTCCCCGGACACTGCATTCACTATATCCGCTCTCCCTGGACCCTGCATTCACTATATCTGCTCTCCCCGGACCCTGCATTCACTATATCTGGTCTCCCCGGACCCTGCATTCACTATATCTGGTCTCCCCGGACCCTGCATTCACTATATCCGCTCTCCCCGGACCCTGCAATCACTATATCCGCTCTCCCCGAACCCCGCATTCACTATATCCGCTCTCCCTGGACCCTGAATTCACTATATCCGCTCTCCCTAGACCCCGCATTCACTATATCTGGTCTCCCCGGACCCCGCATTCACTATATCCGCTCTCCCCGGACCCTGCATTCACTATATCTGGTCTCCCCAGACCCTGCATTCACTTATATCCGCTCTCCCCGGACCCTGCATTCACTATATCCGGTCTCCCCGGACCCTGCAATTACTATATCCAGTCTCCCCGGACCCTGCAATTCACTATATCCAGTCTC